GCATTGTGTATATATACACTACAGTTTTTTTTTTATCTATTCATCCACTGATAGGAATTTTGGTTGATTCTATCTCTTGGCTATTGTGAATAGTGTTATAATGAACATGGGAGTACAGATGTCTCTTCAATATATTGATTTCATTTCTGTTGGGTATATATATACTCAGTATTGGAACTGCCAGGTCATAAGGTAGTTCTACTTTTAGTTTTCTAAGAAACCTCCAATCTGTTTTCCAGAATTGCTGTATTAATTTACAATTCCACCAACAATGTATGAAAGTTCACTGTTCTCTGAAACCTGGCCAACATTTGTTATTTTCTGTCTTTTTGATAACAGCTATTTTAACTGGGGTGAGATGGTATCTCATTGTGGTTTTAATTTGGATTTCCCCTGCTGATTAGTGATGTTGAGCATTTTTTCATGTGCTTGTTGGCCATCTATATGTCATCTTTTGAGAAGTGTCTGTTCAGGTCCTTTATTCTTTTTAAAACTAGACTATTTGTTTTTTTGCTGTTGAGTTGTTTGAGTTCCTTATCAAGTCTGGATATCAGCCCCTTGTCAGATATGTAGTTTGCAAACACTTTCTCCCATTCTGTAGATTGTCTCTTCACTTTGTCAACTGTGTACTTTCTTGTACAGAAGCTTTTTAGTCTGATGTAGTCCTGTTTGTCTATTTTGGCTTTAGGTGTGTATGCTTTTGTAGTCTTGTTCAAAAAAGCACTGCCCATTCCAATGTCATGTCGTATCTCCTCTGTGTTTTGTTCTAGTAGTTTAATAGCTTTGAATCTTGAATTTAGGTTTTAATCCATATTGAGTTGATTGTTGAGTATGGTGAGAGATAAGGATCTAGTTTCAATCATCTGCATATGGATATCCAGTTTTCCCAGAATCACTTATCGAAGAGGAAGTCCTTTCACCAATGTATATTCTTGGCACCTTTGTCAAAAATGAGTTGGCTATAAACGTGTGGATTTATTTCTGGGCTCTCTATTATGTCCAATTGGTCTATTTGTCTGTTTGCATGCCAGTAACATGCTGTTTTGGTTACTACAGCTTTACAGTATATTTTGAAGTCAGGTAGTGTGATGTCTCCAACTTTGTTCTTTTTGTTTAAGATTACTTTGGCTATAGAGGGTCATTGTGGTTCCATACAAATATCAAGATTATTTTTTCTATTTCTGTGAAGAATGCCATTGCTATTTTGATAGTGATACTACTAATTCTTCTAACCCATGAACATGGGATATCCTTCCACTTATTTATATCATCTTCAATTTCTTTCACCAATGTTTTATAGTTTTCATTGCAGAGATCTTTCACATCCTTGGTTAAATTTACTCCTAGGTATTTCATTTTTCTGGCAGCTAAAGTGAATGGGATTACTTTCCTGATTTCTTCAGATATTTCATTATTGGTGTATAGAAACACTACTGATTTTTGTATGTTGATTTTGTATCCTGCCACTTTACTGAATCCATTTATTAGTTCCAGTAATTTTTTGATTTAGTCCTTGGGGTTTTCTATGTATATGGTCATGTCATCTGCAAATAGGGATAGTTTGACTTATTCCATTCCAATTTGGATGCCCTTTAATTCTTTCTCTTACCTTATTGCACTGGCTAGATTTTCCAGTACTATGTTGAATAAGAATGGGGAAAGTAAGCATCCTTGATTTTTCCATATCTTACAGGAAAAGTCTTCAAGTTTTGTCCATTTAGTATTGTATTACCTGTGGGTTTGTCATATATGGCCTTTACTGTGTTGAGGTACACGCCTTGTGTACCTAAGTTGTTGAGTATCTACTTCCAAGATACAATGGTGGGATAAGCATAGGGTGTATATTCTCATTCAAAAAGGAAGAAATAGGAGAGAAGAAAGGAATAACAGGTCCTAAACATGTCCAAAACCCAGCAAGGCAGGTATTAAATCTTAAAGCTGTAGAATAATCTCCTTTGACTCCATGTCTAGCATCCTCTGCACACTGAAGTGGGGGTTGAGCCTCTAAATCCTTAGGGAGCCCTGCTCCTGTGGCTTTCCCAGGATGGCATTGCCTGCTGGTAGCTCTACTGTTCTGGGGTTTCCATGGCAGTCCTGCTCCCATGGCTCACTAGGTATGGCCCTGATGAAGGCTTTCTGTTACAACTCTGACCACACATTTCTGCTAGGAATTGTTCTACTGTAGGATCTTTGTGATGACTCCACCCCTGTAACAAATCTCTTCCTTTTCCATACATCCTTTGAAATCAGGGTGGAAGCTGCCATGCCTCCATAGCTCTGGCTTTACATGAGCCTGCAGACAATACCACATGGATATAACCAAGGTTTCTGTCTTGTATCTTCTGAAGTGGTGGGTCCAGCAGCACCTGGGGCCAATTTAGCTACAGCTGGGGCAACCAAGGAGTGCTGTGCTGCTGGAATGCAGGGAGCAGCTTCCTGAGGAAGCCCTTGGAAGTGAGCCTATGGATGGTACCCAAGGCCTAATCCACAAAACCATTGTCTTCCTAGGCCTCTGGGCCTATGATGGGAGAGGTAGCCTTGAAGATCTCTGAAATGCCTTCAGGGTGGTTCTTCTATTCTCTTGATGACCTCTTCTTTCTCTACTAATATCCTTAGCAGATAGTCACTGGGCTACACCACTTGTTTCCTCTCACGAACACAGTTTCATCCTTTATGTGGCCAGGTTGAGAGTTTTCTAATTTTTTACCTCTGCTTCCCTTTTAATTATAAATTTTGGCTTTACATTATGCCTTTGCTACCATAACTCTGTGTAGGTTGTTACAAGTAGCCATGCAGCTGCCCTACTGCTTTGCTGCTTAAAAATTTTATCTGCCAAATGCCCTGGTTCACCACTTTTAAATTCCACATTCCATAAAACTTTTGGGCATGGATAAAATCCAGCCAAGTTCTTTGCCAGTTCATAACAATGGTAACTTTTGCTCCAGTTTCCTCATTTCCATCTTAGACCACCTCAGAATGGCCTTTACTGTCTATATTTCTGTCACCATTCTGGTCACCACTGTTTAACCAATCTCTAAGAAGTTACAGACTTTCCCTGGTTTTCTTGTCTTCTAAGCCTTCACTAGAATCTAGGCTTTTTCTAGCATGCTCTTCCAAATTCTTCTAGCCTCTGCCCATTATCCAGTTCCAAAGCTGCTTCCACATTTTCAGGTATTTGTTATAAGCAACACCATAATCTCAGTACCAATTTTCTGTATTAGTCTGTTTTCTGTTGCTTATAATGGAATACCTGAGACTAGGTAATCTATAAAGAGATGAAATTTATTTCTTACAGTTTTGGATGCTGGGAAATCCAAGGTCCAGGAAAACATCCGGTGAGGGCCTTCTACTTGGATAGGGCTCTGTACAAGGTCCCATGGTGATGCAGAGTGTCATAAGGCAAAGATGTCATGAGCAAAACAGCTAACCTTCTCACTTGGTCTCCTTATAAAGCCATCAGAACCACACCCATGACAACTCCATGAATGGATCAATCCATTCACAAGGGCATAGTCCTTGCAATCCAATCACCTCTTAAAGGCTCCACCTTCCACCACCATATTAGGCGTAAAGGTCCAACATGAGCTTGGGGGTACATTCAAACCACAGCACATATTTCTCTGTTCTTTCTTCATCTTTACATTGTTTTGTAGGTATTCTTTGGTGGTATTAGACCTTTACTGCTCAATATCATAACTTTGTCTCTGGTCTGTGTTTTTTTTTCCATTCTTTGATGGATCACAAGCAACTACCACAACTTAAACACTGCCTGGAACTAATATGTGGTCCTGTAGTTAATTACTAGATTGGCAGAAACATACTGCACGACCGGAACTTGAACTTTGCCCATGCTAAAATGGTGCCTTGCTGTTGTTTCTCAGACTGGGGAAAACTTTCTGAGTGGACTGGACTTTAATTGTTGGCCTTTTAGTCACTTCCTGATCATGTGGGGTCCTCCTAAAAGCAACGGGGCTGTATGGAGTATCCAGCCCACGACTGAGTCTTTCACCTCAAATTTGTCCCCTGTAGATCTGTCACACTGACCAGTCTCCATTGTATGGCACCCATGCCAATTGGGAGACAAATCAGCGGCCAGCACTGTACCCCAATGCACCCCTGGTGGGTCAGGGCCCCCTCCTCTACCCTGCATACATTTCCCATGGGGCAGGTCCCACATGAGTCCCCTGTGAAGACTCAAAGACCTCTAGGAAAATTGGACAGATGCCTTCTATTCTCTCCTCTCACTTCTGAGACAGCAGGTCCAGTGACCCTCTCCGTATACAGTGCTATCCTGGTCCTAAAGATGCAGGTTGGGACTTTCCAAAGTGATTCCTTCTTCCCGTTGGCTGAGGCCCTTCCTTCCTATGAGTGCACAGGGCAACCTTGCAAGTAACTTTGATGGCCTAAGAAATGGGATGGGGTGCTCCAAAGTGATACTTATTTTTTGCCAGTGGTCACAGCACTCTTCTCCTCTGCAGACTCCAAGTAACTCTGGGCAAAAAGTGCTGCACTAACTTTGCCATCTCCAGGTAGCTTCTCTGTGCACTATGCCACGCTGGCCCAGAGAGCAACTGAGGCTGGGAATGATCAGGATGATCCCTCCTTCCACTTGACGCAGCCTTCAATGCTTTAACAGACTCAGCAGGTCTCTCCTCTTCCCCTGAGTTCCAATGGTTTCAGGATGTTGGTTTTGTGTTTAAATAGTTGTAAGTTAATCTCTTGTGGGGGGGAGCAATGCTGGGGATCATCTATTCTGCCAACTTGGTGATGTCACGCTTCCAAGTGTGTATTTTTTGTTTCTATCAGGAAGAGCATATAATATGTGTTTCATATAATATTCTTTATACTAAGCAAATTGCACTAATTGTTTTCAACTTAATTATGGAAATGAGATTATATACATGAGTGTTACCTATGAGAAAATTTATCAACATTAACAATTCCAAAAATTAAAAAGGATCATAGAACTAGACCAATAATATTTCTAACTTTTATTTTACCTGTAGTGTGAGACTCTTTACTGCATTCCATACTATTCCAATAAATTCTTTCATTCTTTCTTCAGGACTTCTACAGCCTTCAGATATATTCAGCATGGCTTTCACAGGAACTGACAATGGTCGGGATTCTAAGTTTAAGAACAGCTAATCATTAAACAGAAATGTAACTTATAATTTCACAAAAAATATCTAGAAAGTATCTTCAAGATTGTTTTCCTTGCTTAAGATTATTACTTCTATATGAGATTACAAAATGTCATATTGGATCATTTTATCTTGTAAATTACTGATGTTTGCAACTATTCAAAACAAGCAAACCTAATTTTTTAGGAGTCAGGAGAGTATTTGTTACTCATGTCAGGGACTGGTGATTGGGATGTAGACTTGGGGAGTGATGGTAATGTCATACTTATTGATTACATGAAAGTATTCACTTTGTGAAAATTCACTAAGCTGTCACTTAAAGATTTTGTCCACTTCTTAGTATAATGGTAATAAATCGATAGAAGTTTTTCTTAAAAAAAAAAAGAAAGAAAGAAAGAAAATTCAAGTACAAAGCACTTGATTCTTCCAAAATTGATAGGAGTCTTCTCATAAGTGAATTTTCCTGATAACAAAAGCTTACCCACAGAATCTCTCAATCTTAAAAAATGATTTTGATGTGAACCAAAGAAGCTTGTGATAACATAAAAGGCAGACTTATTTCTTCATAAGATGAAATGTGATATTCCACTGTTTATATTTTGTTATCAAAACTTTTGTTAAAGATTTCAGAAATTACTTTAAACAAATTAATAATTTACAACAACATATATCTATCAGACCCATATACTTGTATATTTACCCATCTTATGTTAATGCAAACATATAATTTATATGTACAGATGCTCTTCGACTTACGATGGGGTAATGTCCCAACAAACTCATCATTAAGTTGAAAATATCACAAATAGAAAATGCATATAACACACCTACCCTACCGAACATCATAGCTTAGCCTAGCCCATCTTAATGTGCTCAGAATACTTACATTACCCTACAGTTGGTCAAAATCGTCTAACGCAATGCCTATTTTATGAGAAAGCATTGAATATCTCATGTAAGTTATTGAATACTGTACTGAAAGTGAAAACAGAATGGTTGTATAAGTCTTTGAAGTATGGTTTCTACTGAAAGTTTATCACTTTCACATCATTGTAAAGTCGAAAAATCCTATGTCAAACTATCCTATGTCAGGGACCATCTCTACTATTTTATGTACTTTTTATTTATTAACAAAGTATTTACTAGGTATTTATTAAAATATATTTTTAATAAATAAATCAGATCTTGATTTTCAAGACTTTTACAAAATTAAGTTTGAAGATCCTAGGACGCTCTCTATAATAAGTACTACTATATCACCGCTTAAGACTGAATGGTGAAGAAGGGCGTACTTTATCTAGATTTCTGGGCAAGAAGTTGAAGGAAGGAAGATAAATCCCTCAGAAGAGAAACCAGACTTCAGCACAAGAGTGATCTGCAGTATCACATTTCATTGTCTTATTCAAGATATCATGAAAAACTAGGATAAAGTGTTAATTGTCCTCTGTTCACGGGCTTAATTAAAGGTGTCTCTTGCTACATGGCATATATTTTTTAACACTTTTTATTAGAGAAGTAATATATACTAACAGGACTAAAATGAGAAAGTGCAGCACAGCAAAAAATAAGGAAGAGAGGGAAGGTGGAAGGGAGGGAGGAAGGAAGGAAAGAAGGAAAGGAGGAGGGAGAGAGGATGGGAAAGAGAGAAGGAAGGAGGGAGGTGGAAAGAAGACAAAATGAAAATATCCCATAATTTCAACATGCAAAAACAAATCACTCAAAAACTATTTATAGTATCTATTATCTTTTAGGGCTTATTTTAGAAACTGGGAATTCTGTGGTAAGCACAACAGACTTAGTCCCAGTCCTCCTGGAGCTTACGTATACATGTAGGCAGCTTTAAGATTTAAAGCAAAAAAAAAAAAAAAAAAAACCAGAACAAAAACCCAAAAAACTCTTCAGAGAATTTCAGATGCCAGTAGGATTAATATACTTAAATAAAGGTTTCTTCAAAGCATGTACTGGGGGGAATCAGGAAACCTAGGTCCCATTTTCTTATTCTATCAATTCAAGATGTGGAATCTTAAAACTCACTACAGCTACTTGGGTTTCAGATTTCTCACCCAGAACTTTCAGGAGATAAACAACAAAAGCTGCCTAAATCTCACTTGAAAACCACTGGGTGTGGCAGGGATTCTGAAGCCTGTCAAGAAAGAAAAAAAGGAGAAATAAAGAAAGGGGAGGGGAAGAAATGAGAGGAATGAAGGAAGGAGAGACGGAGGGAGTGGAGAGAGAGAGAGAGAGAGAGAGAATGCATTGAGTAACACTGTCTTGTTGTAAGTGGTAAAGATATGAATATCCAGAATCTACCTTTCAAGTTATATATAGATTATCACACTAATCCATCAAGACCACTAAAATCAAAATAGATGGACAATAACTTAAAGTTTGAACTTCCATAACTTTCTTAGTGTGTGTACACCCACAACCATCACTACCACCACCAGAAATAATACCACAGGGTAGTTTATGAGTTAATGCACTTCTAGATAATAAATATCATGAGATCTTGGAGAAGCATTAAGATTTTTAAGTTGGAAAAGGCAGTCTTTGGCTTGTTAGCTGTAACTCTTGACAGGCTGGCACTGTTTTCCAATATTTTATACTCAAAACAGTTCATTAAAAAGATCAAATTATTCAGTGTGACTATAAAACAATAATGCTGATTTTTGTAGGAATATGTGATTTCCAATATTTGATTTTGGCTCTTCACACTTTCCCCTTCTGCAGTTAAGTCATTACCTAAACTTTTCTCTTTATAGTTACAACAAGGGTTCAGTGACAAACTAAAGATAAGCTACCTAGGGGGTTATAAAATTATAAATGAGAAAACTCCAGTCGATTGGATTGCAACTAGAATTTGAATGTTCCTTTTTTTTTTTTTTTTTGAAAGAGGAAGGGAAAAAAGGGAAGAGGGAAGGGAAAGAAAGGTAGAAAGAAATCTTATTCATCATGAACTCAAAACTTTATTCAATGTCCATTTACTACTTACCAGGAACACTGCAGTAAGGGCTGAAAAATATGACATAATCCCTACCCTCCAAGAGCTTATAAGGTACAAGGGAGATATAAACTTAAATACCATGATTATCATATAGTATGATAACTTTGGTACTGTAAAACATTCTGGGAACACAGAAAGACTTACTAATTCAATCAAGTACTGGCAAGAAAGACTTCGCAAAGGAGGTGACATAGAGTTGGGTTGAGAAGGAATTCTAAAGTCCAAGAAAGAAGAAATTTCAGGCAGAGAGAACATGAACAAAGGCACAGAAGCACAACGTGCATGGCAAGTAGTTTAGTGTAAGTGAAGTATACTGCACAGAAATGCAACTGGTGTATTAGAGATAGGGCAAGAAAGGTTAAGTTAAGGCTTAGTTGTGAAGGGCCTTAAATATCATGCTAAGAAAAATACAGTTTATCCTGAAGGTACTAAAAAGACAGTGGACATTTTTAAACAGAGAAGTGTAATAAAATTTGAGTTTTAGAAGTGAAAATTCTTGGGCCGGCCCGGTGGCGCACTGCTACAGTGCGCCGCTTGGGAAGCGCGGCAGCACTCCCGCCAAGGGTTCGGATCCCACATACAGACTGGCCGCTCACTGGCTGAGCGGGGTGCGGGAGCAACACCGAGGGTTGCGATCCCGTTGCCGGTTCCAGTCCGGTACGGGCGCGACACTGAGGGTTGTGATCCATTGCCGGTCACGAAAAAAGACAAAAAGGGGGAAAAAAAAAAAAAGAAGTGAAAATTCTTACATTAACACAATGGATGTATTACTAGAAGAGGGGGAAGAGTGAAAACAGAGACCAATTAGAAGCTGTTTTGCTAACACTCCAAACTCTCTCATTTTATTTGATTGCCGATACAGAAGTTGTAAGTTATATCTATTATAACCCTAGTACATAGTCTGAATGTTAACTTTAAAAAATTCATGAATTATGTTTACTTGATGTGTATTTGATTCTTCCTCTTTTAAGTAGAGAGCAGGAAAAATAAGGCCTGATCCTTGACTATTTTGTGGGGGTCCTTGCAGTCCAAAGATAAACTCCAGGCCTAAAAATTTCATTCTTTTGTTTGGTGATTTAAGTTGACATATACAACTGCAGGCATTTTAAGTATTGACTAAGTATATAATTGAAGGTATTTATCAAATGCATCATTTAAATTTCATTTACCCAGAGTGAAAGATAGAGATTGGTTAACTGAGGCTCCCACTTCTAAAGATACCTCTGGCATTCCACTTTCATTGTTTGAGAGAAGGGATGATGCCACAGACCACAAACAAGTCAGATCATTTTCTCAGTATTATCCCCCTGAAAATTAGACACTAATCTGACAGACCCTGCACTGACTGACTTTGCATTACTTTACTTCTTTAACTCAGTAGAATTGAAGATCAAAGAAAAATTAAGTTGTGTAACTCTATGCATACATGATTAAGAAGATCTTAGAATTGTGCCTGATACCTAATTATAAAATTGTAATAACACTTTACAACCTGAGTGATCCTGGGAAGACCACGTCCCTCCAGTCCCCAATACTCACAGCCTTGCCACCTAATTCCGCCTGACAAATCCCAAGATTAATTCCTCTATGTCCTTTATCTTCCATTTACAGGAGCCACTAGGAGAAGCCCAAAATTCTAAGAACACTCCTTATCCCCCAGACTCTCATCACTAAACAGATCTATACAACCAGCATCTGACCCTATCTCTCAATCCACAACAACATTGGAATCTTCTCCATTCTACCCTTTAGAACTCATAATACATCATCAGCAAAATCTCCTATAATTTCTTAAAACTCTTTTCTGAACCTGAGGCCCTAAGGATCAGCAGAATGGCTAAATGGAAGGTGCCTGATTCACTGCTTACAGGAGAGCTACCAGACTGTGAACACAACAATGGACTTTCCTTGAATAAGAAATGAATTCTATTGGGTTAAGTTACTGAGATTTTGGCGGTAGTTTTTTAGAGCCAATGAATA